TTCCATGGGTCAAGTGAACTTCGAGGATCACTCCGACCCTTGCCATCCTATCTAATTCCTTATGAGGGGGAGAAATTGTTTTAAATTTTGTAAATTATTGCAATGAATAACAATTGATTAAACTTTCAAGATTGCTTCAATATTTGGCTCTTTAACTAATTCCTTTTATTATTTTCCCTTATATATTTATTTTTATATTTTTTCCTTTGTTTTATTGTTTCGATGGAATAAACTTGAGCATACAGAAATATTCGAAAAAATTAGGCCGCATGCAAGTTATGTGACAATTTAACAAGGAAATTTAGCTCATGTTTGATAGAGATTACAATCAGGGTAGGACAAAACTCCTGAACCGAACCGAACGATTCTTCTAAAATTAAATACCCGAACGGGTACCCGAATCGAGACCCGAAATGTTCGGTTTGGTTCTCGATTCCAGACCCAGAACCGAGAATCGAATCTCCCTAACTTTTTTTTTAAATTTTTAAATAAATCAAATTATTTTATTTTTTTCTAAATAAATTTGTTAACCAATTGTTTTAGCCCAAACTCAAAATATGATTTCCATATTTCTAATTTAAAGTCTCATGCCCAAACTTAATCAAATTGATTTAAGTTTTACCAAAATCTTTTATTCTACCTAGTGTTGTTCTGGATAAATCGAATTGAAAGCTTGATTGTCATTTTCTTCATTATTGTGAGCTCACTAGTCACTATCTTCCTCTTCTTGTAATTTTAACAATCAAATTATGAAAAACTCAAGAAAAAGAAGTGCAAAAGATATCGCGAGATTGAACTATGTTATTTTGTAAGAGCTAAAATTGAACATATTATTAGTTAAATTAATGTAGCGTTGTAAATATTGAAAAAATTAATTATTATATGAAACTCGGGAACCAAATNCAAATTATTTTATTTTTTTCTAAATAAATTTGTTAACCAATTGTTTTAGCCCAAACTCAAAATATGATTTCCATATTTCTAATTTAAAGTCTCATGCCCAAACTTAATCAAATTGATTTAAGTTTTTCCAAAATCTTTTATTCTACCTAGTGTTGTTCTGGATAAATCGAATTGAAAGCTTGACTGTCATTTTCTTCATTATTGTGAGCTCACTAGTCACTATCTTCCTCTTCTTGTAATTTTAACAACCAAATTATGAAAAACTCAAGAAAAAGAAGTGCAAAAGATATCGCGAGATTGAACTATGTTATTTTGGAAGAGCTAAAATTGAACATATTATTAGTTAAATTAATGTAGCGTTGTAAATATTAAAAAAATTAATTATTATATGAAACTCGGGAACCAAATTGAACCGAATCGAATGTAACTGAATCCGAATGGGTCCATAATTAAATTTGGACCCGACGGTTCCACTTATTAAATACCCGAAAATTTCGGGTCTATGAAGAACCGAACCGAATCATGTCCAACCCTAATTACAATCAGTTTTTTTAGTAAATTTTGATAGAAGTTGATCAAATGTGTAATTGAAAAGTTATAAATCTCATAAAATATGTGGTTAAAATTAATTGTTGAATTTGATTTAGATTAAAGTCTTCTACCAAACACGGGCTTAAGTTTTTCATCCATTTGAACCAACTTGCACGAAATATCATAGTTTGAAGGCATGACTACATAGAAAATTTGACGGGTACTGAAGTGCGTAAGAGGCATAGCTTACGGACCCAAAGTGCAAATTCTCAATTGAAAGTTCGATTGGTCTCAAATATCTTTGGGCCCCACATGTATAGTCACCCAATTGAATCGGGACAAAGGTTATTTCCAGTGGGCTCATGTACCCTTCCTAAAGTCCCAACCATATCCTAACCCTATGCCTAAACGTGGGCTCTGGTCCGGCGGTCCATTCTTATTAAAACACACAGTATCGCACACAAAATTCTCACACGGTAAAACGATTTGATGGACCTGAAAAGTCCATATCCAATTCAGTTTAATTTTGGTTACCCTTTTTTCCAATTCCTCACCCCAATAAGCCTTATCACTTTCCCCTAAAAAATTATAGGTCCAATTC